CTCTCTTTCAATCGCTTATGGGCTCCCCTTTTAGTTTCCCTCTCTTATTCTCAATCTCTAAAAAGGGGCAACCCTGAGAAGGGCATAAAACCCCAACTCATGTTTGTTCAAAATCTGAGGCCATTTTTATCGAGGCTCGTGGATTTGTTGTTTGGTTTAATATTTCCTGTTCAAGTAAACAAGGGGCTGACCAAAAATTGGAGGCACCAAACTCGTGATTTTCATAAGTTCACGGTTTCTATGAGTCCACATACTTACATGTAGAAATGCAGGCCCCTTAATAATTTGTTTTTGAAATAGAATTTGATCTTAATTTTTAGGGAATATATAATATTGAACATGGAGATTATTAATCTGTAAAAATAAATAAAATTTACAAACTAGAGATGATATTTTTTGGAGATATTATTTGAATCATTGATATTACTTTTTTTTTGAAAGACTATTATTTACATGACCTAATTTTAGTGGACGTGTAGACCTAATTTTTTTGAAAGACTATTATTTACTATTATCAAGCCCGCATAATAACAAGTACGGGCTTCGATGCACTGAACAATTTTTCTTTTCACAAAGGAGTGCCATTTTTGTGGAGGGTTGTGGATTTGTGCTTTCATCTAATGTTCTAGTTCTAGTTATCATGGGACTGACACAAGATTTGCATACATCAAACACTTGATTTTCAAAAAGGAGTACCAGCGTTTGCAAAGGAAGGCAATTCATAAAAGGGTGATCAGACAAGAGCAGTACATAAAATGTAATCATTGCCTTTGTCAAAAATAAAAATAAAAAAATATAATCATTTTCAAGAGGGTGTGGTTTCTACAAGGTCGCAACCTTAAACAATCCAATTAAGGTGCACTTTTAAAGTTTATCATAGCATGTAATTTGTTGTTAAAAATTATGAGGATTATCTTAAAATCTATTTTATATCTAATTAGAAAATTTAAAACTTCAAAAATGGTTAAAATCAAGTAGATCTATAAATATATGAAAATCTTGAAAATAGATGGTCTAGATAATGTGTTGCAAGATGCACTATTTCTGAGACTCAAAAGCGTTTTTTTTTCCATATTCATACATCTCAATGTCGAAATGATCAATTAGAGGGTTTTTCAATATTAAAACCACCTTTCCAATAGATTTTTTAGGTGCATAAGTGATTCTACATTTTAAGGTTGCAACCTTGAACTTTTTCCTTTTAAAAAAAAAAAACATAAAATGTAGTCACTATCAAGTCCTTCTATTTTCTTGTGAGGAATATTTTTTGCGTTTTCCTTTGCATTGTGACTTGGCCATTAAGTTTAACACGACGGCAAAAGCCCCTGTTAATTTAGGGAAATCCAAAAACAGTCTTTTCCAACATAGTTAGTTTAATTGTGTATAAAACTCCTTTTTGGAATATTCTAAAAAGCATAAATTTCAAGATAACATGAAGAGAACGTCAATCATGGACAAAATTGAAATACTGCAGCATTTTACCTTTTTTCTAAAAATATACCTTTCAAAAGAAAAATTATATATCATGTATTGCTTTAACTTTATTCTTCTTTAGTATTTATATTGGTTGATTTGTTTATTATTTAGGTGAAACCTTTATACAAGGTTGAAACCTTAAAATGTAGAATTGAGGTGTATCTATGTAATCCTTTGAAAAAGATTGTTTCAATGTTTGAAAAACATCTGATTGATCATCTCCACATCTATATGTGTATACATGGAGAAATAGTATATCTTGCATCACATTACTTGGATCATCCATTTTCAAGATTTTTCATGCATTCATAGATCTGCTTGAAAATAAAATTTTATAATAAGCGATCAAAATAGATTCTCACACCATCCTCAGAATTATTGGCACCAAAATTGCTTCTTATGAAGAAGTTCGGATGTGCACCTTAATTTGATTATTTGAGGTTGCAACCTTACACAAACGGCATCCTTATTTACATTATAAACTAAAAAAGTATCTTTATTTTCTTGAAATTTATTTCTAGTAGACCCTCCACCAAAACACACATATATTTGAAACAAATCGGAGCCAATTATATTTCAAATATTTGTGGTAATTCATTTTCTTTGACCCGTTCCTTTAGCTTTGTTTGTTTGGAGTAGACCCAAGTTACTACCACCTTTAGCCGAACGATATTGCTACTAAAACAATTCAAAGTAACATGAAGGAGAAACCCAAAAGCCATCTCTATTCCAAAAATGTGAAGAATAAAGATAATAATAAGTAGAAACTGAATACTTGAAACATGAGAATTACATGAATGTTCTTTTTAATCACATTGAAAGCTTTATAAATCCTTAACAGTAGAAATAGGTTTAGAGGAATAGACAGAGCCCAACAGCAATAGCAAAGAAGAGGATGGCGATTCCCATGAAGTTCACCAGTAATGCTTCCTCACCAAAAATTCTCACTGCCTTTGCCCTCTCAAGGAATGTCAACTTCTCCAATATCCCCAACTCGGCTGCACAAATAGCCATCAAGAAGATAACCAGTCCGGCAAAGACATGCCAAGGCACAATTCTGGCTCTTGTGTACATGGCAGCTCCAGGAAACCAGAAAAACAAGAACGCCAAAAGCCACTGCATCAATACCACAAAAAAAAAAAATAATTCTTATTTTGCTCTCAAAATGAGTCATAGCATTGAGAGATAATCCTTCTTTCTTGGAAAAATAACTCATATTCAAAACAATGGCATGTTGAAAAGCCGGAGAGGGAGTGGGGCGAACTCGTTTATCAGGAAGGGTACATTTTGTCAAGAGATATAACTCTAGAAAGTTCTTTCTTGTTGGAATACTGCTTTCCCATGTTTGTGTCATGCGATACAAGTATGCGTTGTATCTTGTGAAAAACGCCCATCTACTTTTTTGTAAAGGGTAAAGTTTAGAAGGTGTCAACTTTATACTATTGAAATAAGGTGCATGACAAAATTCTCAAGAAGAGAGTGTTTTGACATTGGAAAATCCTTCAATCGATCATCTTGATCGTGAGATATAGCAATATGAGCAAAAAAAAAAAGAATTTCAACTCCTGAAAATAATGTATCTTATAAAAACTTATCTAGATTCTAGACAGTCTGTTTTTATGATTTTCAAATATTTATGGATTTCCCGGATCTATACCATGTTTGAAATTATAAATTTTATAGCTAAAGATGAAAATAGATTTTCAAGTAATCATGAAAGTTTCGGACATTAAAACTGGATGAGTACTACTCTAATGCAAATGATGATTACATTGAGAAGCATATAGCGAGGGGAAACGTTATTGGTACCTGGAGCCCGTACAGGCAAATGGTGGCCATGCCAAACCATGAATGCAAGGAAGACATATCTTTCAAACCGGACTCTCTCTTAAATTTGAAAGCAACATAGACACCCACCACCCCAGCAAGAAGAGCAACCAAATGCAACAACAAATGAACTGCCTTCTGTGCCTTCCTTCTAGCCGGTAAAATCTTAAAAACCACAATAGCTGCAACCCCCAAAACAGAACTATGAGCCAAAACCAAATAACTAAGCTCCTGATTCAAATGTAACTAACAGAGAAAAGCTTTATTCCTTACCATGGCCGGAACTGACAATGAACCCGATCACCATGAGAACCGGGTGAACCTGTCACCAAACAAAAGAGTTAGTTTTCTTGGGTCTGAAGAAAAATGTAGTTACTTATACACATGCTCAAGCAACTTGGTGATAGATAGAGAGAGAGAGAGTGGTGTACGTTGAATATGAGTTCTTGGTTGCGGGATCTAAAGGCTAGGCCCCCACGAAACTTTAGCGTCCATACAAGCACCATAACCGTGGCCGCAATCCCAAACAGGGGAACGAATATTGACCACGGTCCCGGCCCATACTTGGCAGGCATGATTTCTCTTAAGAAAGTGTTAGGTAGGTCAGCTAATTTAGGCTTTCCAAGACAGAGTTTGAAGGTTTCGTGCCCTTAACTTCTCTAACTCAAATCAATGTGTCCACCGCTTTGCTGATGCAGTTTAAGACTTAAAAGTTAGAAAGGAAGTAGGGGAGAACATATTAGAAAGACAAATCAGCATAAAACAAGAAAAATATGATGCACAGAGGAGGGCTTTGCTTTCTCATCCTCTTCCCTACAAATACTCCAATGGGATTCTTGGCTTGAATTTGTTTTTAAGGTCTGTTGGAGATTACGAGCTTGTTTGTTATCATTGAAAAAGTGAAAATGGAGCAGGCATTAAGGTTCAAACAAATAGAAACGTCAAAGCCGGTCTTGGGTTCTTGTTTTGTGGGGTTATTTTATGTAACCTTCGTCGAGGCAGGGGAAGGAATTGGCCGTAGGCTTGTACTTCCACAGCGAAAAAAGCCAAAACTGAGGTCAAATTTTCATCAATTTACATTTTTCTTTTTTTTTTGGGAATTCAATAGGAAAGACTTGGCTCCTACCGTTTTTTCAAGTAGATTAGGACTTAACTTTTTTAAAGTGTTAGTGAGGTGGCGGGAATGAAAAATATTACTCTATGCATAACATAATAAAAAAAAGAAAATTAAAATGGTCGAGCTTTTACATAAAATGGGCAAATCAACTAATTTGTCCAGGAATTCCTTATTTTAGATTGACCATTTCAATTGTATATTTCTTCACACAATAGATTAATTTATACTGGTGGATTTACCTGCATTGCTGGTAGAAATGTAGGAAGACCTAAAAGAATAAGAAATTTGTTGAAGAGTAATAGAGAAATAGAAATAAAAAATATAGTAATATACTTATATAAGTAGGTTAATATAGTAATATACTTATATATGTAGGTTGTCCTCAATTAGAAAAGAACAACAAAATAGACATAAATACTTAACAAAAAGAAAAGTTTATACTTAAAAGAAGAAAATTAGTTGGCAACTATTTATGAACTGTAAAACTCAATTTTCAAAATGCCAATAATTGATTTAAGAAATATTGAAATTTATCATAGGCTACTTGTGTATGGTATAAATTTAATGAATTAATAACATATATTCTTCTTTTACAAATTTTTGTACTTTCTTAAAAAGAAATTAATCAAACCATTAGGAGAGAGATAGATAAGATGCGAGGGTCGTGGTGCTTGGTAATCATCTGATCATAGAAAATAAGGTTCCTCTCTCTCATTGTAACTGTCGCTTTATCAGCCATAAAAAAAAAAGAAGAAAAAACTACCACGACAAGTGTCCTTTCAAGTATGCACAGTCTAAAAAACTAATTACATTTTGTGAGGGTAAAGGTTTCTATGCTTCTGCTACGTCATAAAAGTTTTATTCTCCCCTTACCATCCAGTCGTTCAATTTAGTCGTTCAATTTTGAGCAAAAGAGTCGCTCACCGTTTGATATTAGATCCGACGTCTCAAAGTATTTTACTTTTAGTTTTTTAATACAAATTGTATGAATATGAAATTTGGTACGTGCTATTTTTTCATTAGGGAGAACCTATAAAAAATATTAAAAATAATTTATCGATAAAATATAATGACCAAAATACCCCTTGAATCGTTCAGGGGTATTTTGGTCATTTTATTTTATTAATATTTTTTATATTTTTCGCTAGTGTGAGTTTAATAGAGGAATGAACGTCCAAAATTTGGTATCAAAATAGTTTATAAAAAAAAAGTTAAAAATAAAATAATGTGGAGACGTCACAGTAAATGGTGCAATCTTAGCCCTCAATTCAGAATGGACGGTTGGATAAGGGGGAGGATAAAGCTTCTATGTTGTAGGGGAAGTATAGAAAGCTTACCCTATTGAAAAACTATTTAATTGATCATCTCAACATCGAGATGTATGAATATGAAAAAAAAAAAAAAAATTGAGTCTTATAGATGTGCATCTTACAACACATTATCTAAACCATTCATTTTCAAGATTTTCAAACATTTATAGATCTACTTGATTTTAACCATTTTTGAAGTTTAGAATTTTATAATTAGAGACGAAAATAGATTTTCTGATAATCCTAAGAATTTTTTACACAAAAAAATCTACTTGATTTTAACCATTTTTGGAGTTTAGAATTTTATAATTAGAGACGAAAATAAATTTTCTGATAATCCTAAAAACATTTTACACCAAAATTATTATAAAATTGAGAGGTGTGCCTTAATTGAGTTGTTTAAGGTTGCTTCCATATAGAAACCACACCCGATATAAAAAAATGTCTCACAAAAAAAAACAAAGCTATCACAAAGGTATGGAGAGTGACACGAAACATGGCGATGTCACAAAGTTATCAACAACATGGGGCACCTTGGTGGCCCATTTGGACCCATGTGAGGCCCATTGGTGCTTTTGCCAAATACGCGTAGGGGTTCATCCCTTGGTTCTTTTGCCTGGCTTTTCCAGGAGTATCCCTTGGGAAGGAGGCTTCTCAAAATGCAGCAGTTATCTGTATATACTATAGGGAGGTGATTTTCTATACAGATGTGTGTGGCTATTACATCCAATTTCTTTTGGGAATCACATGTATTTTTTCACTTCCGTTAAAGATTTTAGCCACGAAACTTGGGTTTATTTTTTAAAAGAATCTACTTTTTGAAAATTTTAGAAACTTCAACGCATTGGTTAAAAAGCAAAAGTCAAATTATAAAGATCGGATCAGAGTACTGAATTTTTCTCAAAATCTCTTGAAGACTTTTTTTGTTAACATGGAATACTTCATCAATTGACTGCACGTACTCACCCCCAAAAATGTGGGCCCAAGAGAAAAAAATATTAAACAATTTTAAATATGCGTGGAAGTATGATATATTGGAGTATGGCCATTAAGACCTCATGACTACCATAGTGTTCATGGTCCCTCTCTTATCTTCTATTTTTAAATGCATTTAATTCAATTTGATTACATTATATACTTGCTACAATGATTTCATTACATTCAAATCTTTGGACTAGCTTTTATGGTAAATTTCATTCTGTTTTTTTTTTTTTCTTAACCACCTATCAATGATATTTTAATGGTCATATTAGACCAAACGTTTTTTTTTCTCTTTGGGGTGAGAGAGAGAATGATAGAAAAATGAAGGCTTAGCTATTAATATGGGCAGAGAAAAATGTAGATTATTTGACACAAAACCTGCTATATGTGGCAAGGAGATAAGCTTCAATGCTTATTAAAAGGGCTCACTCACCCATTAAAAAACACATACAAAAATTTGAGAACCATTGCCCATCTCTTTTTCTATTCAAAGCTTTGCAGCAACATTCTTTTTATATCTATCTTTCTCTTTCTATAATTTTCAGCAAAATTTCTTTTATCATTATTTTTCCTACATTGGTATCATATCAACATTTTTTTTTCTTTTGTGGGACTCTATCAAACTTCGGAACCCCATTATTTCTCTCTCTTTCCTATAGGGTATCCTTTTCTCTCATTAACGCTCACCATTATTTTCACGCCAGCGCCGTAAAGCAACTCCAGACGCAGAAGTTTCTTTGGCCTCTCTCTCTCTC